TACTTATTTTTGTAATGCATTTTTGAGAAGAATATTATTATGTTATTTGCACTTTGACCATTAAGAAAAAAGATTAACCTTGTTCTGGAGATTTAAATGAGCTAAAATACATAATGAAAGAATGTATTATTAAAGAGTAACATGCATCAGAAAATATAAAACAATTTTATTGAAAAATAAAATTGTAGGCAAATTTGCCTACAATACAGTTTAAGGGATAGTATTATATTGTATATTATATTATTGTTGTTCAGAATTGAACTAATAAACATGCTAATAGCAATTTGATTAGAGGAAAAAAAAAATAAATAAATATTTGTTTTTTTTAATTTTTAAAATAAATATATATCAATACAAATTTTTATTAATATATAATATCTAGATATAATATCAAGTATCTTTTATATATAGAAATATATATAATTAAAAGTTTATATTTTTATGTCCTCTATATATAGAATTAATATTGTCTATTGACTATTTTTAGTAATAGCTTATCTATCTATCTTTATTAATCCAATTATATTATAGAGATGGATTTATATATTAGATATGACAAATTTAGGAGATGAGAAGTCTTGTTATTAGTTTAAACCTATCTTCCTACTAGGTTTAGATTTGGTAACTTTGTAACTGCTCGCAATTTGAAATTTATAAAATATTATTATAGAGATCAATTCTAATTACTTGTTATCATTAGTTCTTGGAATATATTATTAATATAATATAGTACTATTATTTTTATTATCTGTGGCCATAGTGTCCTTGCTTGGATTTTTTATTATTCTTGTTTTGATTCTCAATAAGTTTACTTGGCTTAATAATTTTGCCTAACTTGTTACTACCTATGGTTAATAATCTTGTCTTATATGATTTATATATTTAAACTTAGAGAATATTAGTATAGGGATAAATCTCAAAATATTAAATTAGGATAAATTGATTTAGGATTTGTCTTTTTTGTTTATACTGTACTATAGAATCTATTATACTAGAAGGAATAAATTTTGTTGAGTTTTTTATTGAAGTTAAACCAGAAGTCTTTTTTTATACAACCTTTTCTACTTTAATCTGTTTTCAACCTGTGATTATTAGAAAGATCAGAGGTCTCATCTTCATACAGCCTAATTAAATATAATTAGGATTTGAATATTTGGATATTTGAATATGACATTTGTGAAAAATTAGTAAATCCATAAATGAAGAATAAATTTATGTATTTTGTTCTCTATAGATATTAAACTAAGGATATATATTTGAAAACTATAAAACACTATTCATTATACTATTAACCTATTGGTCATTTGTTTATTGATTTAAATAAAAAAAAATTAATATTTTTTAAATTTAATATATATCTGTTTATATTATTTTTTTATATTTTAGAAAGAAATAATATAGTTTTTCTTAATAAAATATTTATAAGTATTTTTCTATATATTTTTAAAGAATTATTAAAAAAAAAAAATTTTTTTAAGAATTTTTTGATTTTTCAAAAAATTTTTTTATTTTGATTTATTTATTTATTTATTATTACTTTTATTTAATTTAACATATTATTATATTTTTCAATTCATATTTATTTAATAAATTGTTTTATTAAAAAATAATATATTATATTAATAAATATAACAAAACTATTTTAAAGTTTTGTTAATCTACAGTATATTTAATTAATTTATATACTATATATTAAAATAATTTTAATAATTGATATTATTGTTTTTTTGTAATTGACAAAAAATTAAAATTTTAAATTGCTATTTCTTTTTAATTATATTTTAATTATGTTATTTTAATAAATTTAAAAAAATATTTATACTGTATATATTTTTATGCTTTATATCTCCAAATACACACGTCTATTTTTATTTTAATTAATTAATTAATTATTATATTATTAATAAAAATATGAGTTTTGATTTTTTATATTGTTAAGTTTGTTAAAAATTTTCTTTTTTGATAATTTTGGTTAAAAAAATGGTTTACACTCTTTATTACAAATAAGTTTCAGCTCAAAAATTCAAGAGCCCTCAAGACAGCTGATACATTGGGATGAAACCTCTGATCAAAGTCTATGCAAGTTTGGAAGTTTTCCATAGGCCGAAATTAACAGTAGCGAAAAAACCGAAATCTGGACACCTTAATTTCAACTAACTAGTGTCGCGTTATGCAAATCCCTCCTAGACTCTAGACTTTTTGATGCATGATCGATGCATCAGGTGGCATCGCGTCATCCATTATTCCCACAACAATTCATTATTTTTGTATATATAATAATTTTATATAAAAAGAATGATTTAATAAAAGAACAATCAATTTGGTTAAATCATCTAATTCAGTTGAAATTAAAACGCATATACTGTCAATTATATTTAATTTTCTGATTTATAAATAGAATCAATTTACATAATTTGAATTTCGTACGTTACATTTTACTTCGTGAAATAATAATTAGCTACAAGTTTCTAAAAATAACATTCCAACATCCCTTTATTGCAAATAATAAATTATACAGCAGTTCAATATAAAAATACAGATATAAAATACAAACGATATAAGCCCAGGTGTTTATACAAGATATTCATAGTGCCTAAATTTGCGATGTTTACAAATATTCGCTATCAAGGGCCACATATGTACATTCACCACGAACTACTTTACGTTTCCAGGATCTGGCTCATGGGTTTTAAAGTAAAAATATAGCGGCACAGAAATCGCCAAATTGAGGAATGCCACTATACCAATTATGAAAAGGGTAATTCTTTCAGCACGTGTGAAACGCCCAGTTTCGGGAATCGTCAGGGGCTCCTCTTCCACCAATGGATCTAGATGTGCAAGGTCATCAGTGGTCTTGTGTGATCGCGAATGCAGTACAAAAGAATGAATTAACATACGATTAGCTTCCTCGTCGGGGATGGACTCTGCTGAGATGAGTGGAGTAACTTCAACATTATTATTGGTTGACTCCTTGGAAGCCTGCAATTTCAACAGTGACTTGCGCAAAGATCTCTTGCCGAATATTGATAATGCGACCACACAGCACACAACGAATATAACATTCATCGTGATAATTACGATATCTAAAGTCATCGATATGATAAAATATATATTAGCAATATGTGTAGAATGCGGATCATCGGAGATAGATAGTAAGTTTATTGTACTTTAGACGAAAAGCCTATAAACGTCGATCCTACCTGTGTTTTTTAGATTCGGATTGTCTAAACCACTCAAACTTTTCACGAGTGATCCAATCCATACCGCATTAAAGGTACCGGGCAAAACTCCGACAGCGGTTGCCCAAAGGAATGTGAAAAGCTATTTACCGACATTACAGATTAACAATAATAAAATTTACCGTTAAATTGGTCAATCACGTAATTATTACTTGAAATGATTTTCAACACCTAATAATGATTAATGATTAAGTGCCGATTGATAACTTACATCTATAGAACTGACCGAAAAGAAATAGCTTATAAGGTTGAACGGTATCGGAGTTAGACGTAGCATAACCACGATTTTCCATCCTAGGTTATTTGGTCACAAGAAGAGGGTAATACATATGAGAAAAGTTATCCTCTGCCTATAGAACAATAGGTAACCTTCTAAATACCTTCTTCGGTTATAACATTGTTCAAAGCAGCGAACACCGGCCTTTTATCGATCTGAGCCTTGACCCAATCCGAAAAGATATATCTCCCAAAGAGAAAAGTTCCCAATGCCCCGAAAACATCGCCAATTATAATGATGGCGCCTGCTAATATCGGTGGTTTGAACAGGAAACCCGCGGCTATGCTTATTATTGAGCTAGATATAGTGTCATTGAAAGTTAAGTCGCGTTTGTCCAATAGACTAATTACATTTCAAGATCATACGATGAATGAAATTACCCAGGTAAGAATAGCCAAACACAAATTGTGTATATCGTCAGATATATCAAAATTCCATATTTCTTGTGTTTTTCGATATAGTGAAGGTAATCCGTGATATGGTCTTGAATTC